ATATATATAGAGAGAGAGAGAGAGAGAGAGAGAGAGAGAGAAAGAGAAAGAGAGATAGGGAAAGAGAAAGAGAGAGAACCTATCGGCACAATAATCCACACAATGGCTACCAAAGTGGTTTGGAGAAGTAGCACGAAGAAGAAGAAGAAGAAGAAGAAGAAGAAGAAGAAGAAGAAGAAGAAGGCAAACTTATTGTTAGTCGACCGCGAAAGTATCGCGCGTCAGCTGCATTCTTCGCGCGAATCGAGCGAATAAATCGATCGAACGACGAAGGATCGAGACGGAATACATATATAGACTATGATAGAGAGAAAGAGGTGGCAGAAAAAGAACACGAGAGGATAAGGGAATAAGGAGAAGAGCGTAAAGTTTATCGTACTATCGTCGAACGTTCGTTCGTTCTTTCGTTCATTCGCTCGCTCGCTCTTCGGTACCGATTCATTCGCGTGTAATTTCACGGCTAAATCGCGGAAGTTATGGCAACGAGATATGCGATACAAGCCATAAACGAAGGTCGACCGAGCGTGAACGCGTATAAAGAGAAAGAGAAAGGTAGACAGAGAATGTGAGTAACGTCAGCGAAGACGAAGGAAAAGAAGGAACGACGGGAGTCGGATCCGTCCACCACCAGCCTGTCCAACTACTAACTTTTGCTTTTCTCTTATTTCACTTTCTTCTCTTTTCTTCTGTTGGACTTGGACCATGGCTCAGCTTGAAAAACAAACAGTTAAAACTAGGTGGTCCCTCATTAAGTTAGCACCACTCTTCTGTACCCCGATCTGTGTGCCTGCCTGTTACCCCCTAGGGGGCTAACCCAAAAAGATTCGTTTCTTTCTTTCTTTCTTTCTTTCTTTCTTTCTTTCTTTCTTTCTTCCTTCCTTTCTTCTTTTTTTCGTCTTTTTCCTTTTTCCTCATTTCTTACTTTCTTATTTTTTTCTTTTCCTTTCACCCTCGCTATGCGAATTCGTTATGGTCCAAATTTGAATGAGACGTTACCTACGCAAAATGAATTCGTTCGATACACACGAGTCAACTTGTGTGACCATCACGAAATCTGTCCTTTATAGTAGTGAAAGTTAACGGTACCTAATAGTTGATAGCTAGATGTATATAGCATTGTATGCTATGATTTATGAATTTCATCTAAAAAAAAGTAAAATAGATGACCTAAAAATTCGAGAAGAATCACTTTGATCTTAAAAAAAGATAATTTACTTGGACATTTCTTTCGAAAGTCACGATTTCAAGCAATAAAAAAATAATGAACAGACTTGAAATTTTTTTGGACCGTAAAATTTCTAAATTTCTTTTTTTTTCTACAATGTTAGTACATTGTTAGTGTATCTACAGTGTTAGTCGTATCATTCAACTAACATTTTATACATATGGGCCTATGAAGACAACCTTTAACCATGGCAATAATATCAGTCGAAACCATTTAATACGATCGCTTTACCTAGGATTTGCTCGCGCATATTGAATAGGACGATATTCTAATTATACCCTGGCAGAGGCATTTGCGAACGCGTGAACGTTCTTCGTCGATCGGTGTTGCAGTTACCTTCGATAAAATTTTCTCTCTTCCTCCCTATCTTTCTCTCTCTCTCCCTCTCTCTCTCACATACACACACACACTCTCTTTGTCTCGTCCCTAGTGTAAATGTCGCTTTGCCAGGATCTCTAAATACGAGTTGTAGATATAACGCGTTACCAAGTATATATATACGTATATACATATGTGCGTACTCCGTTAACCTGGTATCGCCGTAAGGAAAACGGCCGATAATGGGATTATATGGAGAGAATGGATTAGTGAAATCCCTCGAATGCAAAACCTTACGATAATCGGCTACAACCTAACCATATACACTGCTGAAAATCGGTAGTACCGACTCGTGATATCGCACGAGAATATCTCCAGAGCAATCGAGTCGAGGTAAATGTCGATGCACATTTCGTTGCTCCTCTTTTAGTTATGAAAACTAACGACACGAGTTGCATTATGCTTCTTCTCGTGTTCTTGTTGTTCTTGTTACTGGGTAATTTCGTTGTATTTTTTGTATAATTGATAAATACACACAAATAAAACGTGTACAATACAGGAAATCTTGGAATCGTATATGGGGTTTCTATTTAATAGATTCAATTTAGCGTGAATTACCGATGAGTCAGAAGTTATATTTCTGAGAGGCAACTTAATTCACCTATGTATCATATCTCCTACCTTGACGCATTTTTTCTAAATTTATAGGAAATTACGAAGTATTATACTACGTAGTCATTTTAAATTTATATTCGTATTATTGTTCATTATTTCCACATTTGGTCTACTGCGCTTATAATTGAATTTCATTGTACTCATTGATTAATAAATAGATAAATATCTATTATACACACACATGTATCGAGCTGACAGTAGCTTCATAATATAATAATGATAATAATGATATTAATAAGTATATTCGTCGCAATGCGCTTTGTATTAAATTTGTGTGTTGAGAAAACATGTTTTCCACTTTAATTATCGTGAAATACCGAAATTAAAACACTTATATAAGAGAATCGAGAGAGCCCACTTGGCAGCATAGAAGCATCCTACGAAGTACTTACGTTTTGGCCTCGAGCCGTTATTGGTCTCTTCGCGTACACGTTCTCGAACGAGTTTTAAAGATTCGATCTCTCCTCGTCGAACGTCGGCCGTAACGCGAGTCGAGCGACGAACGAACGCGACACGAACACATATAAATGTTTAAACTGAATCGTTTCTCGTGTCACGTTTTTAACATCTCACTCTTCTACTTTTCTGTTGCAGATAATCGCTAACGCCGTGGAAAAATTACGTGAGTATTCAAAAATAAAAGTATACATATATTTTTCTTATAAAATTAGAGATAGATTGTGATAACCTTGTTAACCATATTTCTTTTTCCGCACCCTACCATTTTATTTCCACCCACTTATTTAACATCCTTAATTTCTACTTTAACAACAGAAGCTTTCGTGAGGTATTTGTGAACAATTCTGCTCATATAAATTTATATATACGCGCAATTCCGACAAGAAACAAAGAAAATTCTTTCCCACGCGTCTACTTATATACATATATGTATGGATAAGTAGGTACCACTCAGTGTAACTGGTACGTATATGCAATATATAGTCTCATTCATTCTTACCTAATTTTATTAAGACGAATGGAAAACGAGAGAACGACTCACTGGTAAAACTACCGATTCGACAAACCACCTGTAAAATTTCTCTGTAGTAATGTATTACGGAACGTAATGCATTACATCAAAGATTACGATTTCATTTCGATTCGTGGTATGGTATGTATAAGTCGCAATCCCGTTTGTTTCGAATAATCTACTGTGCATAATTGTCCGTTTACGAGAGTCGCCAATCTTTTGTACAATCGACAAGCGTGTAAATCGAGAAACGATAAATGAAAATTCATCGAAGGAGCGTTCTCACGATACACGCGATCGGCGTATATCGATTTCGCTTATAAAACACGCATAGTCACGTACATACTCAGATTTAACGATATCTATGCGATGTGGAACAACGAATCGAGAGTCGCGATCAACAGCGAAACAGTTACATTTCTTGCTTGTCTCTTAAGTTTTTTTATAAACAATATCGAAAGAAAAGCGCAAGAAATCTTAGCGTCTATAATGGATCGTATACCTTTATCACTTTAATAAGTGTTTGAAAAGATCAATATCTTTTTTAACTAAAAATCATTTCTTATTAACATGTTCCTTGCCACGTGTACCATTTGTGATAGATAAAGTGCAAAAAAAACATCTGTTGAAATCACGATTGACATAAATAAAATTACTTTATAGTTTCAACATTAATTCTACGAATAAATGAATTGTAAATTCTTAAAAGAAAAATTGAAGAATATATAATTTGAATATATTCTTGAAACTCTATAAATAATATTGTCTACCGTTTGTGGTACACATGGTCTGCTGCTGTATTATGTTGAAAAACGACTTGTGGCACAAAACGTGTTAAACGAACAAATATCAGATGTAGCGATATATTCTTCCATGAAAAGGAACTAAATGTAGGCAGAAAGATAGATGATGAACGGTAGGTATAGCAAAAGGAAAAGAATAGAAAACATGAAAGGGTATCGGTCTATTACCCTGTTTGGTCCTTCCAAGTTGTCGTTTACTTATCGCTTGGATGAACCGTGAAATAGTCAATGGTGGACGGGAATTTAGGAAGGTTAAGAAGAATACAGATATCAACCTACAATGGGACAACCTACCCCTTCCCTACTATCTACTTTTCCTTCTCATTCTTTTCAATAAAGAAAAAAAAAAGACTCTCTAGGTCATTTCTCGTTCCTTGTCTCTACTTTCTCCTGAAATTGGTATTGGTATATCGCCAAAGGTGATATTAACTAACTTTTGTGATGGTAAAAATATAAGAGCTACCTGGATCTTCTCGTAAGTCTGAAAATAAGGAGTCAATTATGAGACAAGGAAGAAGGATTCTCACGATCTAGAAAGAGCACTTTTTACATATTAATTACAACGAAATAGTATGCAATCTCTTTGCGATGTGATACGATGCAATGGCAAATGGGGTTGCATTCTAATTTTCGATGGAGTAATTGCATCCCATTTGGAACTCTTTTTTTCTCTCTCTTTCTCTTTCTCTATTTTTCTTTCTCTCTCTTTCTCTCCTCATCGCGTGGTCGAACATGGTTGGAAACGTGTCTTTCGGGTAGGTACGTAACGCGTCTGCCAAAAGGGCTGCACGAAAGCAGCGATCACGCGATCGAGAGGTGAAAATGAAAGATTTCGAAAGAATCAAATGAAAGAAACAAGCGGCGTGCATAATTGTACGAAGAACGATAGAAAAAGAGAGAGAGAGAAAAAAATTGGAAATGAAAATGGTGGCGTATGTATATATAAATACGACTTCCCTTTTAACTGATTCGTTGAAGCGAAACAAATAGCATGGTTTTTTTCGTTTCCCTTTTTTTGCGTGCACTTAACAGATTTCTACAATACTACCATTTCTTTTAAAAAGAATCGAAAGAATGAAATAAACAAAAAGTTGGCAGCGTCTAGATTACAAGTATGATCCTTTGGAGAACAAATTCTCTTTACGATATTTATGGAGTTTTAGGATTAGCAAAGCAAGGGCAAAACTCTAAAGTCCTTCCTTCTTACCCTCGCCTCAACTCACCACGAAGGCCGTCGGTCTCGCGGCTCTTTTGTAAAAGCGTTCTCGGAGATCGTACATCGTAGAAGTACGATCGCGATCTTGGTTGTTTATGCGATACCCCCAAGATAGGGGTGGCTCCTTTGTCCCGAGGTGGTTTTCGCCTTTACCGGTAAATACAGACGAATAAATTTCCACGGTGCGATAAATCTCGTCGCGCGCGTACGCCTTTCACCTAAGACCGCTTTATTACTCTTCGATTCAACTTCGGTGTACGGATCAACGCGAGAGAGAGAGAGAGAGAGAGAGAGAGAGAGAGAGGGAGGGGGAAAAATAAAAGGCAAAATATCTGAGCATTGTTTGGAATAATTCAAAAAAAAATAATTTTTTCAAAGTAAGAATCGTAACTATTAAAAAAACAATTAAAAAAAAGCGAAATAAAAATATTCTAACTTTAAAAAAAATAAAAATAAAAAGAAGAGAGAAAAGCAATATGTGGTATAGATCGAGTTCATAATGGTAGAACATTTAGCTTGACCAGTACAGCTTTGGTGTTACCGAGTCAGGAAGGACTAGTCAGGGCTAGTTCTGGGATCGACAAAGCGTCGTCGGCTTATCCGTCGCGCACGGGTTATTTAGCGTTCAGGCGTCGGCTAGAACGGACGAGGCTCGTTCGTGCTCGCCAATCGAGTCTGGCGATAGACTGAAAACGGATTACCGAGAGAGATAAATCGGGTGATACGCTCCTCGATGTAACGTTTCCGCTCCATTCGTAGGTAGAAACGAGCGATACCCGTTTGCGCGTTAGAAGCAAAGCCAAGAGATAGGAAGAAAAAACGAGAATAGAGAGAAAGAGAGAGAGAAAGAGAGAGAGAAAGAGAAAAGGACAAAATATGTTTATGATAAACTTAAAGCTAATTGTAACTTTAAACAAGAGTTAATCAATATAAAAATATAATTTATTTAGCTTTTAAATAATTATTCTGAGCATAAAAAGTTTATTTCGAAAACAACAATAATTAATTAAGAGTGAAAAGGGGATAGGTATGTTAACGTTTCGTCTTGGAAACGTTCTTAGGTGTGAAAGAAGGAGAGGAGAGGAGAGAAGAGGAGAGAAGAAGAGAGAGAAGAAGAAGAAGAAGAAGGGAGAGGAAAAGGAAAAGGAAAAGGAAGAAGAGGGAGGAATTTCTTAAATTACTTCCTTATCTCCACCGTCGGTAGCACCTCGAAAAGACGATCTCTTCTCTTCGTAAATTAAGATAAAATTGATTTAAGCGATTTACTGTAGCAGCGCGCGCGCGCGCACTTTGGACATCGTTTTCGTTGACGTTGTCTTCGTCGTCGTCGTCTCTCGTAGTTGTTCTGTTCTCGTCCAACAGTGGAAAAGAAGATAATGGTTAAATCCAGAGTCTACAGGATTGAAATCTCTGAAAGCGGAAAATATCGAACGTTTTTCACCAAGTGATTTTTCTCTCCGACTTTCCACACCGAATCAATCGTGGTTGGATGTGTAGTGCGGGGACGCTACCGATTAATTCGTGAAAGCGTTCTTCTCGTTGTTGTCCGATCAAACCATTAGGACAACCTCTTGGACTTTGCCATCTAACGGCTTGTCTTTTGCAAAGCAAGTAAACAAAAAAAGAGACCGACAAGACAGACAAACAGAGAAATAGAGTAGTTACAAATAAGATTAAAAATGAAATAAAAGTGAAATATATATATATATATATATAACATACAATAAAACTAACTCTACAAATAAAAAGAAAGAGATAGAGTGAGAGAGAGAGGAGAGAAATATATCCAGGCAGACAAGAGAGAGAGAGAGGAGAGAGAGAAATAGGCAGAGATAGAGAGTCTGGAGAGCGTAGTTGCACGGAGGGTTAAGCGTGTTCCGTCGGGTTTTACGAGTAAGTGGTGGGGAGCGAGTGAGAGCCAGTGTATATACGAGAGTAAGAGCGAGAACGAACGAGAGTAGTGGGGGTAAGGGCTTGACGGTGGGGCGTCAGGACAGGTCAGTGGTGGGGGCCGACGCTCTCTCGTTCCCTTTCGCCGCTTAGTTACTTCGCCAACGTCGTTGGGAGCGGATCGGCCGTTTCCAGTGTTCTCTTTCGGATTTTTTACCACGATTCCTTCGCGCGTCGTCTTCCTTAGCGTGTCCTCCAACAGGAGGAGAAGGAGGAGAGGAACAAGAGTGATCCTTTTCGAGTGCGTGCGTGCGTGCGTGTGTGCGTGCGTGACGAAGTACATCGAAAGTTCGTGAAAGAGGATACTGAGAATTAAAACCTGTACTTGCTGAACTCGTTTGTAAAGTGCGTTTGAGTGCACCATGGAAACTCGTGATAATCTGTATAAGCGCGTACCGTGATACGATCGATAGGTGCTCGATTGGATAGGTTAAAGAGAGGTGGAAATTAACAGAAAGATTATATTAAGTAAACATAGTGATTCGTTATTTTTCGAGAAAGTGTTATTCAAAAGAATGAAGGATACCTCGAATTTTACTTGATAATATTTGGTGTTTTTCTGTAGAATACGTATTTCTATCGGTGTTTTAATAATAAAGGGATAGAAAAAGATAGTGCGAGAAACTAACGTGAATAACGTTCAAAGGGATTAAGTTTAAAGGATTCAATTCTAGGTGATATAT